TGTGGATATATATATGTATGTGGATATATATATGTGTGTGGATATATATATATATGTGGATATATATATGTGTGTGTATATATATATATGTGGATGTATATATGTGTGGATATATGTGTGTATATATATATATATGTGGATATATATGTGTATATATATATATGTGGATATATATGTGTATATATATATATGTGGATATATATGTGTATATATATATATATATGGATATATATATGTGGATATATATATGTGGATATATATATGTGTGTATATATATATGTGGATATATATGTGTATATATGTGTATATATATGTGGATATATATATGTGTGTATATATGTGTGTATATATATGTGTGTATATATGTGTATATGTATATATGTATATGTATATATGTGTGTATATATATGTGTGTGTGTATATATGTGTATGTATATATGTATATATATATGTATATGTATGTGTATATATGTGTATATATATATATGTATATGTATGTGTATATATATATATGCAGAGTGTTCCAATAAGAGCGAATGGTGTCTCTAGAAGAACTGGGTTGAACACCTCCCAGTGCCACTTTCTAGTTTCCTAAATCAATCAACCAGCTCGAATGTCCATCGTTTGGGAGAGGGAGCAGGAATAAAATGAGCAAACACCTAAAACCGCCTTTTGGGTAGATATGGAGAGAAGCAGTGCACTTATTACTATGATCCATCTGTACAAGTCTAAGTTGAGGAGGTACCCATATCATAACACTTCAATTGAAACCAGAATTTAGCATGCAGTCAGGGTAGGAGGGGAGTTCAACTGCTTTCGATAGTTATGAGATGGTTTCATCTACAAAGTGTTTCTCAAACTTTAATGTGCATGTGAATCACCTGGGGATCTTCCTAAATGGATTCTGACTCTGGTTTGGGTTGGGGTCTGGGATTTTTCCATTTCTAATGTTTCTAGTCCGCAACCTACCCTATAAGTAGAAAGACTCAAGACAGTGATTTGTATTTAGAATTGCCTGAGAGAACTTGTGAAAAAACTGCTGCCCAGTCACACCTCACATTAAAGCAGAATTTCTGGGGACAGGATCCAGGCACCAGTGCCCTAATGTCTGATCTAGATGCACAATGACAAACTTTGAACTGGCTGTGTGGTCTGGTGTGCGGGCTTTGGAGATTATACCTAAGTTATCTGATTTTTACTGGCAGAATGGCTTTGAACAAGCTATTCACTTATCTGAGTCTCCTTTTCCTTAGTAAAATATGGATATTATCTATAAGTTATTATGAAGTCTGAATATATTTTCTAAGTACAATGCCTGTACGCTATTAAAGGCTCTGAATAGGAGCTATTAAAATCTTTGTATTTTACAAACATGTACTAACCCATCACTAGCTCCAACTCAGCTGTTTAATGGAGTTTACTGAAAAGACGAAAGTTTACTAACGAACTTTCACTTTTAATGTATTTAACCAATGGCATGTCCCTTTCTGTAGTCAAAACAAAGATTTCCAACAAAGTTCAGGTAAAATTCTCTCCTTTCTTAAAAAATTGGGCCAGGAACTGTGGCTCACCCCTATCACCACAGCACTCTGGGAGGCTGAGGTGGGGGGGCACTTGAGCCCAGGAGTTTGAGAGCAGCCTGTGGAATGTGGCGAGATCCATCTCTAATAAATACAAAAATGAGCCAAGCAGGCCTGTAGTCACAGTTACTTGGGAGGCTGAGGTGGGAGGATCACTTGAGCCCCGGAGGTGAAGGCTGCTATAAACCCAGATTGTTCCACTGCACTCCAGCCTGGGCGACAGTGAGACCCTGTTGAGGGTTGGGGGTAGTGGGAGGATGGAAAGTCTATCTAAGGATTCATTGTTCAGTTTCTTTAGCCTTACTTCTCCATCTGGTAACTTTTTGAAAAACAAAATTCATCCTTCTGCATTTTGCTCCATCATTCTCATATTTAAGACAAATCAGTAAGATGGTTAAACCCTGTGTTCACTCTCAAACCACTTTGAATTACCGTCTTTTTCCTGTTGATCACAATTATGGGTGGGGAAGGGTGACCGATAAAATATTCTGTGTGGAACACCCAGACAGGGTGATCTTCCAACACTGGTTTTAGAAATTGATGTGTACTTTTCCTTTTATCAGTGAATGAAGAATGGCTGGAAGGGGAGTGCAAAGGAAAGGCTGGCATTTTCCCCAAAGTTTTTGTTGAAGAATGCGCTACTACAGATTTGGAAAGCGCTCCGAGAGAAGCCTAGGATGTTTCACAAACTGCAAAGCTGAAAATGAAGCCCTATTACTTGTAAAATTTAGCACCCTTCTGTACACCGTACTGAGACATTACAGTTTGGAAGTGTTCATAAAATGTAACCTACTTGGCAATGATGTGAGTACCCAGGATGATTTCTTGTGGCACAGGGGGTGAGGGGATGGGGACAGGTGAATGGAGGAGTTAGTTAGGGGAGACGAAAAGTAGATGGAAGTGTCTGGAAAGGGCACGAGAGGGTCTTCTAGGTGCTGATCCTGTTTTTCCGCTCTGAGTGCTGGCTACCCAGCTGTGTTCACTGTTAAAACCCATCAAGCTGCACATCTGGTTGGTGCACTTTCCTGTGTCATACCAAAAAAAAAAAAAAAACCTATCTTCAAAAACCAAGACACCTAAGTCCAGGCTCAAGGACCAAGTATAAATATTCCTGTTTCTGAACCATTACTATAATTGACTCTGAAGGCTTGAAATAACATTACAGGTTATTCATAAGGCATATATAAATAAACTTGTTTTCTTTTTCCATTAAGTCTTGTTGCTTAAACAGAACCTGGACTGAGTTAGGTTCTCAGGAAATACAATACTCAATTCCACAGCGAACTAAATACTAGAATTACATACCTTTGTACTTCTGAGAGAGGAACGTGTTACGAACTCAATACTGAGTATGTGTCACTGACATTTAAATGATGAAAAGCAGCAGTGTTCATGAAACCAGTTGGTTAGTATTATCTTGTTAGCTGACACTTGGCAATATAGTTATGCATTGCTTCACAATGGAGACGTGTTCTGAGAAACGTGTTGTGCAAACATCTATCTAGAGTGCACTCACACTAAATGCTATAGCCTACTACACAGCTAAGTTACCAGGTAGAGGCTGCCGCTCCTAGGCTACAAACCTGTATGGCGTGTTACTGTGTTGAATACTGTAGGCAACTATACCACAATGGTAAGTATCTGTGTATCTAAACAGAGAAGGTCAGTACAAATGTATTATGATCTACAGGCGCATCATTGAATATGCAGTCTGCTGTTGACCAAAACGTTGTTATATGGTAAATGACTGTATGTACTAATATGCATAACAGAATGCCACAGATTTGGTTAACCCAATTGTCCAATTTTTCAGGATTAACTTGGATGAAGGATTTTATAACTATTAGACCTTAAGGCCTGGCCTTAATTCCTCTCCCTACCCACTTCTTCTTGTAGTGGATGTACTGCTTTGCTAACAATTTTCCAAGTGTGTAGGTGCTTGTGAAAAGCAGAATAAGGAAGTGAACTGCAAACCGAATCAACACCTAGGCGAAAGGACAGGTCAGGGTGAGCACACAGACATTACGGTTAGCTACAGCACTGGCTTCCAGCACACAGCTGAAGACCCAGCAAGCTACCACGGGAAACTTTGGACATAACTCAAGGAAAAGACTGCCTCAGTAACAGCTACAACAGGAATAAAAATGATGGGCTGTTAACTCCTTAAGTCATTCTTTTATTAAACAGAATAATTTTGATAATCAGTTTCTTTCTACTCATGCCTTTCCATTATAATTAATTATAATTTCCGTAATTCATTGGTCTGGAATGCTACTAAAGCAAAAATAACCCTGAAAAATATTCAAGTTCTGACCATCTGTGTCTTTCCTCGGATGTGTTAGTAGTTGAAATTCTTGCCTTTTAAGTTGGATTTTCTTCAATACTTATATCTTTTAGAATAGGAAAGAAATAATCGATACACAGATCTGGTTGGAGAGAACATGGTTTAATTAAAGGCAAAGCTGATTTTCAGCAGCTGCAGGTCTTGCACAGACAGACAAAAACAAAAAATAAAACCCAGAAAACAAAACAAAACCACAAAAGAAAGTTTACTACACAAAACCAGTTTCTGATAAAGATTCTCCTCCCCCTTCTCATTACTCCACAGTGAGGATGATAAGGCGAGGAATCTCGCCCCAAGAGTCAGAAAACATTCCGGACACCAAATTCTCATGCAGAATGGGGCTTTAGATGGGAACTGGGCATTACTGGGAGTGAGATGGTAAACCTGGTTAGCTTGTCTAGGGTGCAAGAATCAGTGACAGTTCAAACACTGGAATGTTGCAGCTGCCTGAATGCAGAGCTCAAACACACAAACTGGGTAAAGGTAGTAGGAAAAAGGCTTGGGACGAGGAGAGAAAGGTGGACACAGGGAAGAGGCTGAAGAGAAGCACAAAAGGTTTCCTATTGCCATTGGGTGGGGGGCTTCACCTTTTCAGACCTTTCAAAAAAACAAAACAAAACCCAAACACCATGTCAAACTAAAAGAGCAATAATGTAAGCACACTGGGGGGAGGGGCTCTAACCACTCTCTCTGAAGAGCAATGAGCATTATCTCACCCCTTTTCATTGCTGGGGTTGCCCAGACTCCAGTGACAACCGGGGCTCCTGGATGTGCTTTGCTCTACAGCTGTGTTCCAGCTCTTAAGTTCCACACTAACACCATTCGCTCACACACACAACCCCTCCCCTTTGGGACAGCAGATGGGCATGTGTGTGTACACAAACATACAGACACACAAAGGAGAGACCTCCCAGAAAATAAACCCTACCACTAGCACAGCAATTGAACATTTAGATTGTTTCCATAATTTCCCCTTAAAATATTACTCTTCCAGGAAATGACCGACAGAAATGCTGTCCTTACTGTTTCTACCCAAGAACATGTTCAGTCCTCTTTCCTCCTAATAAATATCAAAGAGTTTATTTTCCTTTCTTTGCCTTCTCCAAAATGGACGACGTCGTTTTCTTCTGTGCGTGATGTGCACATGTCCGTGTTGCCTTGAATTTCACTCTGAAAGTAGAGGCTGGGAGACTGCAGCTGGGCAGGGGCCTGGGCCCTCTGTGGGCTGTGCAGATACCGCTGCTTCCTTCCTCTTCAGACTGTCTCTTGGGCCCCAACTGCTGGACCCCATGCTGCTGCTTCTTGGGAAGATGTGATGTCACACACATTAGGAATAAAATCAATCACGAGCATCAGGTAAAGAAGGGATGGAGATGGGGCAGGAGGGTGGGAAGTAGAATGGGGGCACAAAAACCAACCAAACAAAAAATAACCACACTGAAAGCTTCTACCTATTAGAATGTGCCAGGCTGTGAATGGACTAGCCTGCCTTCTGTGAGACTGCTTGCTATGTGACTGCAAAATGTACAGGAATCAAAAACGTAATTTGAAATCCTCCAGCAGTCACCTGCTAGTCCAGCCCAGCACCACCACCCACACTGCATCCTTGATTGGGGCTCGAGCACCTACAGAGTGGAGGGCATTTCCTGCTGGAGTCTCCAGGCCAGAGGAGGGCCTACCAGAGCCTTCTCAGAGGCCTTGAACTCTCCCTTATGGAACACTTCCACTGGCTGAAGAGGTCGGTTCCCCATCCTGTCACCACCAACCTCTCACAGGAGCGGTGAACGGGGCTTTCCTTGCTACACACTGACTAGAAGCACACCTGTGTATGGAAGAATTCAGTGTGATATTTTACTACTGAGAGTAATAACAATAAAAGATGTTTAGGAATAATTTCAACTACATTCTCAGTCAGCAAAGCAATCATTAATGGATTCCTATTTTTATTCCCCAAAGAGGAAAAAAGGACTGAGAAGTTCCCATTGGCTTCTCCCATCTGCCTTCCCTTCTCAGCTTTCACTTCCCATGTGGCTGGGGACATGCACGATGGAGAAGGTGAGAGGCGGTGATACCAAGTAACTGAGTGAGATAAACAGCAGTTCCTCTCTCTCTCCCTCCGGAAGGCCCCGGGGGGACGGAGAGTTCCTGATGGATTTTTCTTTTTGTTGCACTGCGAACATTTCGTGCACACTCAGCGGGCTGGTGGAATACTTACACCCTCTTGACAGCGAGAAACAGAAAAGAGGGCTGCCACCTGCAGGGGACTGTGTGGGCCAGTCCTGCAAACCCAACATGCCATGGTTTATGGAGCCTTCATTCCCAGGTTGCCACTTTGGCCTCAGTGTGGAGGGTTCATGGTGCCTTGTCCCCGTTGCTGTTTCTGCTTCTGCTGCATTAACAGCTGCTCCAGAGCGGAAGGTCCAGGATGCATCATGGAACTGGACCAGATAGACTGAAAAACAGCCCAGAGCTTGTCAGCAGAGGTCAAAGGCCCAGTTGTTTGAAAGGGATTTGCTTTTCAATCCCAGTCAAATATAAAGCCATATATACAGCCCCAAAGCCCAACCCCACTGCCCCCCAAAATCCAGCTATTAGAAAAAGTCATTATGACTCTCAAAGTTGGTTAGTTTCCATTAAGATTATTTTAAACCAGAAGTGAAATCACATTTTATGTCAGGTCTTTTTACTGAAACTCAGCTGTATGTGGTATCACAAGGGCATTTACTAGAAAGGTTTTAGGCAAATAAAACATTTCTAAAATTAGATACTCTTATTTTGTCAGAAAAAGCTTAAATCAAACATTCCAAGATGAATCAGAATTTTCTTAACCTTAGAATGAAACTAAAACCTTTGTTTCTGTTCCCCTGAAGATACTGCTTTACCACTAGTGAATTCAGAAATTAAAAATTATCAGTCAAGATTCTTCTGAGGCAGACCATGTTTCTAGGACTTTGCTATACATGTGCTATGCATCAGTCAACTCAGCACCTGAGAAGTAAGACTGTTTATGAATGAAAGCAGAGACATCTTCGCTGTAGTAATCTCGTGGTTCTTCTTCCTGAAACTGACTCACCTTTAGGCTTTCCATGAGGACAGCAGAAGAATCCTCCATGGAGGGGCCATGGCCTGTCCAGGTGGCACTTGGAGTACTGGCCTGATGCCAACTGCTCTCAGAGGAAGATGTTGCTGAGAGATAATCAATGCCAAACCCACCCATGGCTAAGGGATGAAAAGAGATAAGAAAAATTCAGGAAGGTGTTCTATCACTGCCAATTGCCAGACCCCAGGGAAGGATAGAGTAAATTTCTTTCAATCTTGCTTGGCAATGAACTGTAGATCTCACCTGGCTTATCAGTTTTCCACCGATCCGCAGTCCTCCTATCCCTGTTATCTGGAGTCCCAATGGGTCCAAAATTGGAGAATGGAACAGAATTATGGTTGTGAGTTGGAGGAGAGCTGGGCAGACTGCTTGGGTTAGAGGAATGAGGAGACTGGCTGGCTGGTGTTGAATGGTCTATTAAATAGCAACATAGGATATAATAAACAATGTTACACAAACATACAAAGAACTACAGGTTCCTGTAGATCTGATCACTAAAATTTTACTAATAATAACCACAGGGCTTTGAAGGAAAGGGAAACTAATGGCTCCAAAGAGATCTGCTAGATGCATTAATTTGCCCTGCTACCTAAGGCATGTTCTTTGCCTTAAAAAAGCAAAACAAAATAGTAGGCTATTTTTGTCAACTGAATGAATGCACTATTCTGGCATGACTATTTCAGATAAATATTTATTGGTCTTACATATCAGAAAGAATCTGCTAACCTTAAGAATTACTATTAAGTCAGACGCTATTTAAAAAACTGAAGTTAAGCCAGGCGCGGTGGCTCACTCCTGTAATCCCACCACTTTGGGAGGCTGAGGCGGGCAGATCACCTGAGGTCACAAGTTCAAGACCAGGCTGATCAACATAGAGAAACCCTGTCTCTACTAAAAATACAAAAAATTAGCTGGGCGTGGCGGCGCATGCCTGTAATCCCAGCTACTTGGGAGGCTGAGGCAGGAGAATTGCTTGAACCTGGAGGGCAGAGGTTGCTGTGAACCAAGATCACACCACTGCACTCCAGCCTGGGCAACAAAAGCAAAACTCCGTATCAAAAAAAAAAAAAAACCAAAACCAAACAAACAAAAAACGCTGAAGTTAAAAATCTCAATTTTAAAAAGTGCAGAGCTGAGCACAGTGGTGTGCACCTATAGTCCCATCTACTTGGGAGGCTGAGATGGAGGGACTGCTTGAGCCCAGGAATTTGGGTCTAGAGTGGGCAACATAGCAAGACCCTGTCTCAAAAAAAGTGCAACTTTTCCTGCAAAGAATGAACATCTTACAAACAAAAGTAAAAAACAGCTGGGACCATAAGATAGAACCTCTGTTTTCTCCCTTATACCTCTGCTGGCTATTGAGAGTGTAAAAATCTTTGTCAGTAGCATTCATTACATAAACTGGCTTTTTTTTTTTTTTTTTTTTTCCTTTCTGGGGGGAAAAAAAAAAACCCAACAAGTGATACATATATTTATAATTACAGAATCACCCCTTAATCAATTTGAGTGTACAGAAAATGCAAGGTCTATAATTTAAATAGTTAATACCTGAACTGGCAGGAAGTGATGGAGACCACGGAGTTCCTTCAAAAAGGGAATACAGAGATGTTTCCTGGGGAGCCATTGAGGGATTGAGTTCTGCTTTGGAGCTGGGTGCCAGGTTCTTCCCGTATACCTCATTGAACATACTATTATTTGGGTATCTTTCCTGAAAGACATGACAGTCACGTTATAAACTCACTCCAAGGAAAGAGATTT